GTTCTTATTCATTGACAATGACGTATTAATTCTTAGAAAGTTCGTACACAATTTATAGAGCGAAATTTCATTTATGATAGATATATATAAAGATAATCTCGCAATAAGAAATAGGACATGTTCACAAGTTAATCAATTAAAATTATGCAAATTTCATTAGCTTCCCATAGCAACACATTCATGTGAAATAATATTCCAAAATCTTAGACTTTTTCTCTTATATTTTGAAGCTTTACACTATAGATATCGCTTCTGCATGTGTTTGATACAGATGTTAGTCGTGCGGTCAAGAGAAATTGCAATCAAGCTACCGCGATAAGGATGACCATAAGCACAAAACACGTTAGTGTACACAAACAGTTGTACACTAACACAAACAGTTTTACACTAATACAAACAGTTGTACACTAACACAAACAGTTTTACACTAATACAAACAGTTGTACACTAACACAAACAGTTGTACACTAATACAAACAGTTGTACACTAACACAAACAGTTGTACACTAATACAAACAGTTGTACACTAACACAAACAGAAGTACACAAACACTGACTTTAACGTGCTCACTTGACAATATCGAACGTCCATAAACTTTTCTCGCGAAGAATGGGTGAAGACTATTCAACTACTTCATTTAGCACTGATAGGTGCTTGAACTTCAAGTAAAGGACCACAAGTATGCACAACAGGCCGACGGGCTAAACCATTTAAGTCAGTCAGTGAATGTGATCTTCCACTTCATTTCTGGCAGAAGGACACTGGCTCCAATAGCGAAATGAAGAAATCAATGACGTTACTTCCAAGAGATTTAATGAATTAGGTTAAGTGGTGTAACCGGTGTTTGTTGTCATTTTGTGGAAATGCATTAAGCATTTTAATGGCTTTCTTCGGTGTAGGCTTTTTTATCGTAAACCAAGAAAAAGTTTCAGATATTCTGAAATTATGCACTTTCGAGCTTTAACGATTGTAGTATCAGATTCCAGCAGCTGCAATTACTTGGTAGTAATGGATTCCAGAGTTAGGAAATTACTTGGTCATATAACTAAAAAGGATTTTCAAATCTTGAAAAAGTTTGACATAAATAATATTAATTATATGATTTTATTTTAACTATGTTGATTAAATCTACTCCAATCAGTAGCTATATACTTGCAGGCTAACAACATGTACGCATTTCGTACCTATTTTCTTAAAATGTATGCCATGTATTTAATAAACGCAGTGTTTTGGGAGATATACCCAAAGGCCATGAAATGAAGAAAAGAAACGTGAATATTCATGATAGCTACAATAAATAGTGTTCTGACAAAAAGCTTTGCTTGGCCCCAAATGTGGACACTGTTTTTTCCAAAACAAAACGAAATGTGAGGGAAAGCCGGTGGATCCGGTAAAAAACCCTTCAATAAAAGAAAAGATCAAAATTTAGAAAAATTTCCTTAAATTTTAGTAGTTTTAAGATGTTTCATATTTTTGTTGTTTTCAATGATCCCGATGATCTACTTTAACATGCAGGGTAATCAGATCGTACAGCGCACAATTTTCAGAGCGACAAAAAAGCGGCTGACTACCATATTGTCACAGCAAATATTTTGTGTTCGAACAAAAAAAACGAAAACTTTTGTTGAGAATATAAAAAGAAAGAGCGCAGAGTCTTAACAAAAATTTTATTAAATAGAAGAAAAATGAAAACTATTAGAAGCCATACAAAAATCATATGACAAAATATTCAGTGCGTACGACCTGACCATTCACCTTTTAATAACAATAAAAAATGAAATGACCAAAGTGACGTCATGACTTTCATAAAACTCATTTTTGATGTATACTAGACTTTGTTCTATTCAAAATTAATACTTTGCTTCATTAAGACCTTTATTAATATCTGGCTTTCACTCGTGTGTTTTGTCAGAAACTTTAAAAATTGTGAAAATTTGCATTTACGGAGTTTTTTAACTGTTGAATTTGAAAATGCGTTATATTGCTAAACATTATGCATAATAAAAGTCGCAAGTGTGAATCTTTCAATAAGGACGCTTGTCTCTTGGTGCTTCTGTCCGACTTGGTCGTCATTCATTGCACAGTTAGTAGGCCCACAGACATAGCTACTCTATAAAAACGCGTTTAAATGTCAGCATAATGAATGAACAAAAACAGAATTTAAATACACTGAAAAGAACAACATACCTGATTTCCAAGCGTTGTCCTGGTCCGTCTGATCCAGGCGACTTAGTCGGTCTCTTCCTTTTTTCACCGCACAGTTTTTGCGTGTAAATCGTTGAAATTTATTGCATCATTTTTATCTTAGAAATTCGATGAACCCTTCTTGCATCATTGCAATTTTCCTTATAAGCGTTAAATAAAATTAGGACAAAGTAGCGAGTGAAAGCAAGCTGTTTTCTCACAGCAAGTGACATCTTTTATTGATATTCTGTTTAATTTGGGAGTTTTTCATGATTATGGTTCAAATTATAAAAATAGACCATCAGGATCTTTTTTAACGATCTCATGCAGTTACTCATGGAAGTTATTTTTAACACTTATCTACTCAACTTACAAACCACAAGACATGGATTGTGTTTTTCCACTCGCTTGTTTTCCATTTGCGTAGAATACAGTCGTTTTTATCGTCCAATCACTCCAATGTTAATGTTCATACGTACATATGCCGTTATACGATGTCCATTCAATGCATTTGTACCATTCCATACACAAAGTTACCAGCATCATTAACCAATAAAGTAGCTACTGAGATCATGAATCGCTATTTCCATAGATTATAATTGGTAACTTTAAGCAAAGAAAAAGGGATCACTTCAATACCCCAGTTATATCATCACTCAAAGAATGCTTAGTGCAGAGTTGATCTTTTGTGAGTGTCAGCTGACCACCTTTATGTGGGCTCATATAACAATGGGGCTTATCATCATTATATGAACAAACAACTGACATCAACAAAGAATCCAAACTACAAATGAACATTTTTGGCCATGAATCACCATGACACATGAGTAATGATAAACTAGTAAGAGTGACTGAAGTGAATGACACAGGTGGTAAAGGGACTTTCACAACTCCATCCATGTGGGATGTACAATATAAGAAAATATGAATCAGATATATAGAGGGTGAGCAAGTAACAATATGTTTTCTGTTTGACTATCCAAATGGTAAAACATTTACCTACATTGCATGAATAGCATTAGTCAGTTTAGTTTGAAAATTGAACATTGCAACAAGAACTTTCAAACGATCAAAGACTTAACATCGTGGTCGAAGCATTTTAAAGTGAAAGCTTTCATATTACAAAGCCAACAAATAAGACTGTAGTTGTTATTCCATGTAACTCATACTTCACTACTTAGTCAGTAAAAAGGAGAGAATTTATCTTATCTTCTAACGTTAAAGTGACTAAGCCGTTGTTAACAACTCTTTAATTGAAGTAATGACTGAAATTTTTTATTGTGATAGGAGCATGTAATTGTAGTCATATGTTGCTAGGTTAAGGTTAAGAGAGGGTTTAAATGTGTTCTGTTTGCCTTGAGTTTTCTCGACTACTAAAAATATTGTTAGAATTTCGAGCAAAAGACAATTATGGATCTCGTTCATTGCAATTCTTCACCACAATCTGAAAAAACTGCACCTCTAGCGCTCAACAACATAGTGCATTGGAGACAGACGACAAATTTAGTGTATTTATCATTGCATCTATTCAATAATTTGACATTGAAGAAATAAACCAAAAGTCAATAGCATCAATAAAAAAACATTGAAATTTTCAGAAGAACAATATAGAGATAAATCAAGAAGCAAATAATCATTTATCGTCATCGTAGTCACTTAAATTTAATTTCCAACCGTGGGATTTATTTTTATACATGATACCGAAGCAAGTACGTGGGTAAAACATTTCAAAAGGGTTTGAAGGCAACACCTTTATTTTGTTTTGCGCAATCACAAATCTTTATACTTGTCCTCTATGTGTATAGTCTTGTTCCATCTCATGTGAACAACATCTGCTTTCTACGACGCCTCGTGATTTACTTGTGGCAACACTTGAAGTGAATAGTATTTTTATGCATGGTGTTAAGCATGTCATTATATGTATTTCTTCCACATGATTGTTTAACATTCATTGTTCGTACTTGAACAAATTACCGAATATCTATCAAATCTAATTTTTAAAAACAAAACGTATTGTTGCCAAACAAAAGAAATATGCTCTCCCTTCATTGATATACGTAAAATGTAAACGATAATTGACCATTTTTCTGTGATATCACGCAAATCCTTAATTAGTTAAAGTTATTCAGCCTATTAAACAACAAAATTACATCGTTTTGGGCATTAAGATGTTGGTGACGTCAACCAAAATATCCTTAAACCCTCTCCTAACCTTAACTTAGCAAGATGCGACTGCAAGATTCAACAAATATTTTGGACAAAATTAAAGTATAGTTTCCAAATTTAATATCGTCTCATGAATCTAAACCTACATCATCAAGCATCGCTACTTTGCATAACGACATTAAAACATAAAAATATCTGAAAATTCTAATGACTTTTTTTTATTCAAACGCATTGAAGGTGATTTGAACGCAGGTCTTTTGATAGATGAACGGAAAATAACAACGGAAAATTACACACTTAAGGGCTAACCGTGATTCAATGAGTCGTTAAATTATTTCGACGCATTGAAAGGGTGAGGGGCATCTCGAGTCGATTTATCTGATGATAAGTATAGAATTGTTTTAGAATTGTATTGAATAGAATTTTGTCATTACTTTGTGTTGATGCTTGGTTTAGTGTAATAGTTGTTTTATGTTTGAAAACATGTCCCAACAACTGTAGGATCAAGTTGCAAAAAATTTTAAAAAGATGATTATGTAAAAAAAAACATGACTGAAAACATGTTTTTTGGGGAGGACATTTTGCTGCGTAGCGGTTATTGATTGATGATTAGGGGGGAGGCACTAATATTTATATACCGTATACATGTTTTACTATGTTAGTTATTTAATTTCTTTTGAAATCCATAGTGATTAAGGATTATACAATATGAATAATGACAATAAACTAATAAAAAAAAGGTTGACTTTTTTGTGCATCTTGATTCCTACAGTAGGTAGCAAAGAGTTGAAAACCCACAACAGACATGTTCATATATTTAAAATAACCCCTTCCTCTCTATTAACTACAACTAGCTCAGTTTGATTCATATTTTTTCCTTTGATAGACATTAGTCATGGTCTGTTCTTTGAAAATTCTATTATGGACATAATGTTCCATTTTATAACTTAATTAAGGCAAAAAGTGTGAATTGGAAGAATATTGTTGTAAAAATAAGGCAGGTTATAATTTCACCTATCAAAACAGAAGATAGTCAAATTGTCAAAGTTGTGATGCAGTTGATGTGAAATAAAAAACACCCCTTCATCAATGACACCAAAAAATGCACTGTTTATAGGCAAACCTTGCTTCTATAGTTTCCTCAAGGATGCGGCAACTTTGGGTAATTATATTTGTCGAATGGAGATTCTCATGTTGATTCACCCCACCACTAGCTTCATCTTTAATACAAGTTTCAGCTATAGCCACAGATGAATTTTCAAACAATGGTAAGGTCTAGCTTCTTGGAGAAGTTGGTTGAAGCTATCTGAAGAAATGTAGAGAGATTAGGAAGATATAAAACAAAGTAACAAATTCCAGTATTACTCCAAGCATGGTAAAACAAAACTCTGTAATTTAAATGTATCATTTATGTATATTAAGATGCAAGTTAGACATGATGAAAGGGTTCAAATTGGTATTTGAGGAAGGAGACCCTTTGCTTAAATTTCTCTCACAAAATCAAGGCAATCTATAGTTGATAACATTGATAGAAAGCCATCTAGATTGAAACATTCACTAATTTAGCTTCAAAAACAAACTTAAACTTTTATGACATTTTGATTACCCTACTATGCTATTAAAAAGATAAAAAAGTGCACTATGATTCAATGTATTGATTTGAAATATATGATTTCCTTAATGCACATGATAAGGTAAAATTGTAACAGTGTTTTGTGAAGACGCAAATAATGCCAAGTTCTAATCGGTAATTCAGAATGCAAGATTAGTTATAATTATAAGTCAATATATATATAATTATATAGTAATTATATATAGTCAATATATAATTATAAGTCAATATCTTTGGGAATAGTAAAAAAGTATCTTACTTTATGTTAAGTCTTAAAGTATGACTTCGAAAAACATCATAGTATTAAACAAAACAGAGGTTGATGCTATTGTTACTGTTACATTCTTGGGTCATTGGTGTGTAGTCTAATTTAACACATAAAGCCCGGTTTCTATATAATCGTCTGTCGTCTGAAAGCGTGTAGGGACGATATTGCACGCAGTCGTTTTAATCGTCTAGATAGAACAGAGTTCCATCTTAACAATTGTAATCGCTTTGATGGCCTCGTTCGTTTCGATAGTCTTGAATATGTTTCCATAAAATCGCTCTAATCGTCCTTGTACGCTTTCAGAGGATTGAAGATGGAGACAATTATATGGAAACCGGGCTTGAACGAATGCGGTAATGACATTTTAAAATATAAAATAAAATGAACAAAAAAAATGTGCTCCCTTTCGGGCATTTCACTATACATCATAATTCATAAAAAATTGAAAATTACGGTTTAGTTCAAAATCCACGATAATAAATCAATAAATTTAACTCACCTCCACCTATATTCCATACTGTGTTGTAAACATTTATCGCAATGTATTTACGGTTCTCGGTTTTTTGAAATTGCATCTTTAGTGGTCACTTACATACAGTTTTTATTCTATTTTTTCTTGCAAGCATATCTATTTCCAAACTCTCATAAACAAACGGGCATATTCGATTGTACAATGATTGTACGCGCGGAATATATCTGTCTGGGGGACTCGGGAGAAGGTGAAATGTAAATAACACTAAAAATACTTTTTTATTTCAACCAATCATTCGCGCTATTGGTTCCCGCACTTGCGTTAAAAACTGAGGATTAAATTTAATTTCATTCCATGGACGAATATCAACTCGATTTCATGCGCCACTAAAGAGAAACTTTATATAAGAAAAAAGGTAAGTTATAACTTATATATAAATCGGGTTTATTTAATTAGAATAACAACAAGATGGATAGTCCTAATTGAAAGTAGTTCCCGTACTGTATTTTACACAGATAAATTTGAAGTTACTGCCACATGACAATAAACGAAATGTAACTATTTAAGCTGATTTGTTATTTTCAAACCATTATTACATAAATAAATCGTCATGCCAAACGCATTTTGAAGGTTTAACATACTAACGATGGTACAATTGTACGTATGTCGCTAAGTAGTACAACTGCATGTCGGCGAAGGCCGACCGAACTCTAGTGGACAAAATATACACTATAGCAGGCACGTTTATATGAACGGGCTATCTACAGGGTGTATCAAAGACGACATTTAGAAACTAACCTATCGTGAAATTTCAAGACCTGATGACGATGCTAATCTCTGTGAACATTTCAGCGCATGTTTTGTTGTTAGAACTTGTGTCAAATTCCCAGGAGCAGAAAAGCTTTTGCGCAAGTATATGCACGTAGCTAACAATAGTTTATGCAGTAGTGTGCCGAGCCTAGTCGTAGCAATTGAAATTATCACAATATGTCAATTTCTAAAGATCTTTGATACACCCTGTCCAATATAAACCTTGTACACTTAACACTTTGTACACAATACACTCTGTACACAATACACTCTGTACACAATACACCCTGTACACAATACACCCTGTGAACAATACACTCTGTACACAATACACCCTGTACACAATACACCCTGTGAACAATACACCCTGTACACAATACACCCTGTGCACAATACAGCCTGTACACAATACACCATATCCCTGCACACTTTACACCACGAACACTAAACACTCTTCAAGATTCATCACTAAACATTGCACCTAGGGCATGAAAAAATTTAAACATTGAAACCATTTGAAATCAACTCAAGTTTAGACTATAAATGCATGGTTCAGCATTAATTCTACCTCAACGAGGCAGCTAGTGCACATAGTAAATCCAAGAATATAATTCCTTTTAATTGTGTTTACCTCCTTGTGGATCAATGGAAAATTCTAAAGGTCAGATGATATCTTGGATTAAATTTTTTAACACACCCTGTATGCTTTATATACACAATTTGTATAACAATGTACCCTCCTGTGCAATGGTGGCTCAAGACTGGGGAGTAGAACAGACGGTTACACATTGTTGCTGTTTTACACTAGAGTCACCAGAGTGCTCAAACATGTAGAAATATTCCTTCAACTTTTATGTTCATGAGGACAATATTCATAAGACATCCCTACAACAAAAGACAAGAACAAAACAAACAAACAAAATTTGTATACAACATAAGACAAGGTATAAACAAATTTGTAAACTTGGGTTTGCCAGAGGGGCAAGGGAATCTTTAAAAGAATGTGGTTATGTGGATGCCAAAGATGATTGTATAAACAGGAAAGGCATACTGTAAATAATCTCAATGTTTAAAGTTGTGTGGAACACAAATATTGAAAATCAAATGGTCTGTCTATACTGTGTGCATGTTATTCAGAACTAGCTTCATTGAAATACTGAGTGATGCAATGAAATGCTCTTCAAAGTAATGTTTAATGGTGAGCATTCTGTCTCCAAACACTTTCCTGCTAATCTTGTATACCCTAATATGCTTACTTTGACAAAATTGCAAATGAGAAACCACACAATCAGCACGATGATGCAAATATAGATTATCTTAAGAAACTAGAATGGAAAATTCACTTGGTAAATTAAAGCTTAATTAAGGTTTTTAAGGAAGCTTACTGAGCTTTAAATGAAATACATACCATATGCTACTTTGAACATGATCGTATCTGACAGTGAGTTTCTACTCAACTTTAAAAGCAAGTCCCTGGAATGAGGAAAAAATTATTTTCAGTAAAGAATCACAAGCTAATTACTTTAATTAAAATGAATACTCCTCCTTAAACAAAACATTAACATGCATTATCAGGGGTGTTGAAAGCATACAATAAGTGGAAAACATAACACAACTGCCAAATTGGTGAAGACGATTTTAAAGATGTGCCCCCCCCCATTGTAGTCCTTCCAGTGCCGCTGTGCAATAATATAGGTTGCATCTGAATTTGTGCAAACTTGAAATTGATAGTTATTTGAATGCACCAGAAGAATGGCCAGCTTCAAAATGTTGCACTACATTCTTTCTGCACATGATAATATAGCCATAGAGCAACTATTTTTTTTTTGAAATTCTCATTATTTTTTAAACTGCATCATCTTGTCTATAATAATTCCTCATTGGCATCTTGGTTGCAAAATATTAATTTGTAGAATGACAAGATGTTCATTCACAGTGACTAATCCAATGTGACAATGTATGTTAAATACATTATGAGCATTGATCTGTGTATATTGCTTCCCCCTGTTCCATATGTTGTGATCATTTAAAACAGGTGGGGCTATCAAAGCTCACCAAACTGGATCTGGTAATAAAAATTACCAACTCTGATCACACTGAACTAACCTCTCCTAAAACACTTGCAAGATACAAAAAAAGAGACTTGATTCTAATTCATGCATTTTAAAAATTCACTCTATATTCAAGGTTAGTTGTCGAAGGACTGCATCTCAAATTTCACTAAAGACATTAAAAATTTCAGGACAACACTTTCCCAGGGCCACTGCTACAACATTAGTTAGGGAAGGGTGTTATTCATCGATGTAACAGATATGAGTTGGACGCATTGAGTTCTCTGTGACCTTGAGGTCTTATACAACTCAATGGTTGGGTGCAACAGAATATATGAATTTCATAGCCCCAGCTACGACCCTGTCTAATCATTTAATACTTGTTTAACAAATATTTCACCTTCGCAGCTATTCTTTTCTTTGTCTTAGCACTTTCCATGCACATTGACCAGAGAGTTTCACAATGTTTATTCCCGTGTATTAAGTTCATCCACCCCCTTTCTGGCTGCAATTCAAACAGTCATTTCCAAATTGCAATTGGCTCCAATTTCGATTCAATACTTCCCCAGTCTGCCTCCACATACAATCAAACTTTATGAATCACTGCGGCAAGAGTTCAATCACCCTATCAGTCCAAATGGGACGGCCTTTCTGTTAGAAATGCGTCGAGATTTCGACTGTCATTTGCCGCCATACGGTTACTCCACATGCACTAGTTCGTGTTGGAGGGGAAATGACGTAATTGTAGAGATAAATAATGATTTTATTTTAATTTTTTTTGCTTCATCGGATTGGATTCATGATTGGATTTCGATTTCGACACGGTATGAGTCCAGTATCGTGTAAATAGTACTAATATAGAATGTACATAAGCTTGCATAGGAAATCATGGTACGAAAATAGAATTAATTTGAGTTTATGATACAAATGCCGGAATTTTTTTCCAGATAACAACGTGTGCCATTGAAGTAAATGTGACTTAATCAATACTTTTTACCTTATGTTGTTGTAAAAAACACCCAGAATATTTCTAGACAATAAAAACTTTAAGTTCAGCAAGTCATCTTTCTAAATTGGAAAGGATGTGCTATAGCTTATTGTAAGGAAACTAACCAAAAATTTAACTTTTCTTGAATTCGGACATGGCCAAGAGTGGATATTGTGCAATTGTGCCATGGTACGTGGGCTCTTACTAGTATATGAAAATGGACCCTTTATACACACATCTATCTAATACCAATGTTACTGAAATTTAAAGAATCATTTGATTCTCGTACTTTTGCAGGTGTGACAACGAAAACAGTCAAGAAGTTTAAAGCAGTTCAAAAGGTGCGCAATAAAACTCCCCGGATGTTTAAAGGCAACAAAAGTTCCAAGAATGTGTAAATACTTCAAGCCAGCGTCAAAGTCATTGAAAATGAAACAATTTCTCTTTTTTGCCGCAGGGGTTGGTTGCACGAAGACTGGATAGCGTTATCCACTGGATAGCAAATTTTTCTGAACGCTCATAAAATCTCTCATAAGAGAAAAATATACGATTTGAACTGTGCAATCGCTGAAAGAGAATATGGTTTTGAAGATTACAAAATTTCTTTGTCGTAAGAAAAACATAAACGCCTTTTTTACAAGTTTGAAAATTTTCGCTATCCAATGGATAACACTATCCAGGCTTCGTGCAACCGGCCATTGGACTGTAACCTGGCTAATCAAGACTACATATAACATGTAACGATACTCGCGGGTTTAAATCATTCACAATATCATTAAATTACCAATATTTTGCCATTCGTGATTTAATCAATAGTTTGTACTTTATTCGAGACATCCTTTATATTACAAAACTCAACCGTACTTTTGAAACTTTCTGTATCTAGAAGTAGAATGGTTTGTTACAATAATGGATCTAATTCAGCCGATGAGTATCACCTTATTTTGCCTATTCAAGAGACATCTGATGGTGAGTATACTGCAATGCCAAAGCATGGACCAAGGACTTATCTAAACATATCTAAACATGAATCTTCGTGTAGTAATTATAGAATTGCAAATCAAATGACTTTCCTTTTGACTTAGGGAGAAGTTATCTTAATGATGATCTAGATGATGACGAAATGTATTTCCTACTGCATAAGGAGGAGTCCGTTGAAGATGATTTTCTTAGTCAGTTAGAAAACAGCAAAATAAATAGATCTTTAGATAAATAGTACTGCCCAGCAAACAATAAGTAATATATAATGAAGTAGATTTAGTTGACATATATTTAATTTTAATTTCTTAATGGGTGTTTTATCATTAATGTTCATTAAAAAAATACAATTCTTGCCAGCGCTAAAGGAAATTTGCCGGAAAGAATGAACATCTACGTATTGCTGCGTGCGTATAATAAAAGTTTGTATCAACGTACATGCATTTATGATTAAGAAGTGAGGAAGGAATTTATTTTCTTTTCAACTCTTGCATAAAAAGAGTTTTTACTAAACCATGGAGAACACCAATCATTAGAAGAAGTGTTTGTTTTGAGTAGCTACTCATATGCATACATCATTGTGAGAGAATAGGAAAGGAACTATTCCGTAGTCAGTCTGTCAAAACATATATAACCCCGGGCAAAACGAGATATATTACTGAGCATTGCAGAAACAATTCACATACTGCTCGTAAAACAATTCATGTAAATGTGGAAGCTTATTCTATTGGAATATTTTAGCAAAAATCTTGCAATTGTTAAAGAAATCACTCTGCTATTAATTAGAGAGAACACAAGCGTGAGAGAGCGTTTAGAATAGGGGCGTTGATCTCAAATTCTAAATGAAATTTACTAAAGCGCATTTAACCACAAAGTAGTCGTATGAACAGATGCTTGAGAGAAATGAAAATAAAAAAAGATGTAGTTCGTACTTGCGTCTTTGAGAAAGAAGCTAAGTCTGTGACGTCATAGCCTCCATTATGTAATATTCATAAAGTAACTAGATGACAATGACAGTGTCAGACAATTGCTGTATTGCTTGCTGTGTGCAGTGTACATCGAAAATAATACAGATGTAATTTAGAATACGTCTGCACTTCCTTGTCCTTTTACGAGAATTATCATTCTGTAGATTTGTCCTCATACTGGCGATTTACAAGCAGAATTTCAGCCATGCGACGACATAGTCGAGGGCCTCGAGGCTGTTGTTGACCGTAGCAACTAAAAGCAAGTGGCATCGTTGCTAGCTAGTGGCATCAGTCGAAGAATTGTCGTGTAGGAAGACATTGTTGCTCAGGAGAAAGAACTTGTAAACGCTTTAGAGAGTCAATTAGATTGTTGCTTTCGTTCTGTTCTGAAATGGTCTTAGTGAAAGTATTTATCATGTTTGTAATTCCCATTACTTGCATCAATATGAACTGCACACTTCGTTCAAGTGGGAGTGAGTCCAGTAAGAAGATTGATCCATACCGTATATATTATAGACTATTATGGCTTTCACAAAGTTTCTTTGAACAAATGAGTTCTTGATACTGAAAGCCCAGAGAAAAGTAAGCAATGTTATTATGTATTATTTGTGTGTTATGACAGGAGGCCTCATTGTTTATACAATATATGGAAGCTCCATTATTTCAGATTTTTGCTAACAGTTTCGTACTTGGTAATTTACTGTAGGCTCTTAACATCCTCGGTTTTACATTTTCCTTTTACCACTGAAATGTTAGGCAGTCGGGATGTATTGGATGTCACATGCAAAGCATTATTAAATATTTCAATAGATATGTTATTGATATTTTGTTAGGCTACACCTGCAAAGCATTCCAGCTGATAAGAATAATGAATCCTCTTTGGAGCAAAATATTAAAAACTGAAAGGTATCTTTCTGAACACTTTTTTTGTGTTGTAGAAGATAATTGTTTAACCAATTGTTTGTGTCCTCTTGTGCTTCCTTTAGCTTTTATATGCAATACAACCTAACTTAAAGAAGAAAAAAAATACTTCATTGCAGTTACCTAATAAAGTTGTATAAATGTAAACTGCATATTACCCCTAGTGAGCCAAATCCATGCCTTGAGATTTTTACCGATATTGTATTAGCATCAGATAATCTTTGGTAAATCCTTTACTTTTAACTTTTCATACTATACAGTTTACAAAGGGAAGCCTGCAACTGTTGAAGAATTTGTTGAAAGAACATTTTGTAAAGATGTTAACAACAATGGAAAAGTGTGCAGAAGTGAGGCTAGTTGTTTTGATGTAAATTAGTCAGTTTTGTATTCATTGTTAACATGTTGTTTGGTGAAGTAAAACAAAACACTGATGCTATACTAACAAATAGTCAAATACCATGAATTGATCTATGTGCTTAATAATGTAATGATGATGAAATGCACCTTTTGATAAAAAGCAAACAATTTGTTTATTGTTGCTAGGTAGTGTGAATACCGATATGGCGCTTCTAGTCGTATTTATTGTCGAATATGATAAACCTTTTTGGCTTTTTCGTGGAGCTCAGTCAAGTATATTAAAATTGCTATCACAGATGGATCTAACAGGGGTGGCGCCAGGAATTCCCCAACAGAGCGGCTAAGGTCCTCGACGGGGGGCTGACTTAGCTACTAGGCTGATGTGACAATGCGCTTTCCATGTAAATCTTAAATTGCTCAAATAAGTTTTTTATGTGAAGTATTTAATCTTTTTCATTTACCAAAATGATTAACACTTTGCTAAATCTCGGCTACCGGGCTCATGTAATTGGCCCTTAAAGGCTGACCAAGATTCATTGATTCAGCGCTGGTAAAATTTTGTCTATAGATGGGAATTTTCTTTTTGTGTTGTGTTGATGAAACAACAAATCAAGGAAAACTATAGCGACACTTTCCTTTATGTATACCAGTATGATTCTACTAAAACAATTAGATTACTCGCTATATTGTTGATAAATGTAGTCGTCCATCCGTGACATCTAAGTGTTTGTGTCACACAATCAGTCGTGACTCTTTCATTGCAACATCAAAATTCAGAGAATATGCCGCAAAATAGAGCGAGTGATAGATCACGCATTTGTACCAAAAATTTCATCTAGGAAACAAGATAAAAACGTAAGGTAAGTCATTTTATAATTCAGTTCGCACGCGATAAGAGCTCTATTCACCCTTAGCAATATTGGAAGAAAATGATACTCAAAACCGTCAAAATGTGCACTTCAAGCTATTTGTACTGTCAAGTCAACGATTTTTAAGTACATTTGATTTTCAGGGCAATAAATTCCTGTCGGCTGGTAATTCGTCGAGGTTTTAGCAATTTTCGGAAAACCGAAACATGTTTAAATGTTGTTCGTCGAACTGTCAAGTACAAATACACCACAGGTTTCCTTTAACAAAAGACTAGGTAATCTTCAATAGCAACCATTCTGTTAGGATTTTCTAAACAATGTATCTCGCTCGCGCACGTCGGCTGGTGCTTACAGTAACATTGATAAAATATTCTTTGATACACACCCGAGAACGAAAATAATTTACCACGAAATTAAAAATCCGGTTGACCTGATAGATTTCAAGGTGTAATTTAATTATTCTGTAGTCTTAACTAATAATTACAGTATCTTTAAGCAGTGTTTACAAAAGAAATGAACCATTAATTTAATAAGATATTCGTTACTTTCGTAAGTTTTGCTCCACATTCAAAATTCACAAAAAACGACTAACCACATTCAATATTGCCGTACTTCATACAAACAAATTGTCGTAAATTTTAAAGTCGTGCGAGGCTATAGCGAAAGAGTAAAATATAACGTTTAATATTTCTGACAAATGGAGTAATTTTGTGTTAGTTTCATTTCTTTGTTTGGTCAATAAATGTTTATTCATAGAATGAAAACAATTACACAATGGTCATAAACTTTATGCTTGGTGGGTATGTACATAACAGTATTAAATAAGGTTTGAATATCTGAGTTCAACATTAATAAATATTGGGGGGAGTTGGGAGAAGATACCCCTTCAGAAAATCCTCAAATGACTAACAACTGTTAATAGATAATGTGTTGTATGCCAGGTGAATTTTATACAGAGCAACCAATTTAAATGTCCAACTTACAATAAGGGCAAATGGTCAGAAATATTAAGTTACACCAATGAATGTATGTATTGTTGGCAAATAAAACTTGAATGATATTCTGAGATAGTCTATGGCACTCTAAAGCAACACTTAAAGATGAACAACTGAAGATCATATACACACTACACTGACTTAATTTGAAAAAAGTTGAAATACAAATCAACACCATCAGAATAATTTTCTAGATACAAGTCTTCTTGAGCAAAAATGGTGGCAAAGTTCACTTAAGTTGAAATAGTTCTTTTTGAGGAAGCCAATTAACAGTTTAAAACACATACGTACCACATGGCATTTTGAGTCGCTTCATCTTTTATACTTTTTGTGAGAAAAACAGTGAGCAGATTAACATTAACAAAGTAGAGCCATTAAAATTATGATAGCAAATTTCAATCCACTGAACTTTGAAAGCAAGTCTCTAAATAAGAAAAAGTATGGTGGTAAATACATGTCATATAATTTAATGTAATAACCATGAAACACTTGTGCTATTTGGACAATGGCTGAGTTTTTATTAGCCTGTGAAACTGATGTGAGCTCAATCCATTATGTCAATCAAAGAGAATTTGCAAAATAATCATCAATACATGTTAACAAGAAAATTAAAACATTTCTTTAAAATTTCTTTGTTTCGTGCTATTTCTTATTTTAAAAAAAATAAAAGATGTTTTTCATGTTAGCACTGGCTTATGCAAGCTTTGGAGACATTTGTGAAACTCGTGAGCAGGTGCAAACTTTGAAGTCAGGCTTGCACTCATTCTCTCTCAGCTTCTCCCAAACATCTCCCTGGTTTACATAAGCCTGTGGAAATACAGTAAATATCTTTTATTTCTTATTACCACAACAACTAAAATGATTACTCCTTGACAAGATATTAAAAATCCTTTCCAAGCAGACAATTTCAGAAATATAAGATGAAACATACTTTGATGAACAAAGACATCTTGTAAACTCAAGTTATGAGTTGTATTAAAAAACAAGATGATATTTGACTCTATTTTACAATCATTGATATTCCAGAACAGTCCTGTTTGTAACATAACTCATATCTTGTGTTGGCAAGCTGTCTGTCTTGGGATGCTCAACCTGCCTAACTTTGGGAATAAGAGGCCTGAGCTTCCCTAAAAATATTACTTGAATCTTGATAGTAATCTCAATGTTATTTACTTAAAGAAAACAAAAATACAAACTCATCCCTAAGGCTAATGACTAATAACAACTCATCCCTCAGGCTGGCAGCAGTCAAGCTTGAAATTGTAATGTAATGCTTCTATGGTGGCAGAGCAAAACTTTTTAATATTCTATCATTGGAAAGAAAAATATATTACAACAGACTAAATGAGACCATTATTTGTATTTATACAGGGTGTATAAAAAATAACTTTGGAAATTCATGTATGTTATAATTTCAATGCCTATTACAATACTAAGTCTGCAAGCACATAAAATATTGTCAGATACATGCTCATATTATAAATCTTTGTTATTAGCACAAAAGCTTTTCTGCTCCTGGGAATTTTGTTCATAACGGTATTTGGTGTACTGAAATGTCTACTATCAATAAATATTTTACAAAATAAGAATAAAAGTAATCGGCAACAATTACTCTAAATGAATGCAGTACTATTTTTATTTGCTTTACAGAGGAAAAAATCCTAAAACACAGAGTTTGAAAATTCAGAGACTTCTTTCGGTAAGTAAATTTTTTAAAATGAGCACACAAAGACCTGGTCACATGATGCACATATGAAACTCAAATGGTTGACTCAGTTCACATGATGTGTTCATGTCAGAGTTTTATTCCAGATTGGTGTTGAGTCTGCACTATGCCACATTGATTCTGGCTTTGTGTTTGATTGGTTTTCTTATTTGAAGTCTTATCAATTTGCTGACCAAGTTTAACACTGTTGCACTTGCATATGAATTTTTACATTCATCACTTTCAGTAGAGAAAAATATATTGGCTTTCTAACTTTACCATAAGAGCATTGTGTGAACTTGACCCTTAAAATGGGTGCAGCTTCATTTGCATGTCATACCCTTAGCATGGCTCCCATTTGACTGCTGCACTCAGGATCCAAGCAAAACAGGCAGTTATGGTAATTAAATGTCAAACTTTGACAGCAGGGGTCTCTACTTGAAGACAAGCCTTTTATTTCTTAGAGACTTTGATGTTTCAAAGTTTAAACCCAATTTTGCTTAAAATGTTTAAAGCTATTCTGAAGTTTTAATGCTAGTTTAGCTAGTGTAGATTTACATGATGTATATGCATATATCATACCTTTCAGTTCTTATGAGAAACATACAGTCAGTACATGAACATTAACCAGTAGAACCATGATGAGATATAAAGTGAATACATGAACATTAACCAGTAGAACCATGATGAGACACACAGGGAATACATAAACACTGAACCAATAGAACCATGATAAGATGACCTGGGAGTACATAAACTTTAACCAAGAGACAAATGGTAAAATTCACAGTGAACAAATCAAAATAAACCAAATAGTGCCATCAGATACAGTGTAACAGTGAGTACACATTCACACAATTTCAGCCAGAAGTCCCTGAAATGAGAAATGAGAACAGTAGTAAAACAAATTAAATATTTATGAAATATTAATAGTTAATGATCATAAACTATATATTTTAACAGTGCTATATATGTATAATAATATTTCAACAAAGTAAAGTATCACAACACTATAACTAGTTATATCCTGAGAAGTTCGCATCTCTAAGGACAAAATAGAGAATATCGAGAATACCAACATCCAAGAAAGACAATAATTAACCAATGCTCGCAAGCTAATAACATCAAAATATTTGAGACCTCCACTAATAATTCCGATACGGATGACGAATTCTTCTCAAAAGCCGAAGCACAAAGAAACCTTTGTACTATCCTCGATTCTTGGTACAAATAACCTGTTTACATTGAAACTAGTAATCATGCCGAGATTAACACGTTTACTCCTTACATTAAATATTCCCAAGGAAATTATGACGAGTCATTCCCTACGTTTAGAAAGATCCCACGCCACCTATCCGAATAATTTCGTACACGGATTCAACGCTTTTTTCATCTGTATTTGGGTGAAATCACAATACAATAATTATACACCAAAAAATGTGCAGTTTAAAAGAATGTACTGCAACTTTTTTACTCAAAAGTTAAACTTTTAGAATCTATAACAATGTGCAATTCGCACGTTTTCGAAGAGCCTAAATTGTATTGTTTAATGTAAAAATAAAATACATCAACGAGAAATATCCATTAGACAATGAAGTGCTACGAAATGTAGGTGGCAATTTTTATTGTATAATCGTTTTATAAACATTAAACGTATTATTTAAACATTGGTCGTTCACATTTCATTTCCTTGATGAACACTTTCAGCAACAAACAATGGTTTAAACATGTTAAATTATCAAAATTACCTAACAAACTGCTTTGCAGTAACACAGTGTTGGACTTCCATCTCCCACCTATCGTCTTCCAAACACGAGAACACGCCATAGAACACAATCATAAGTCCATAACCACAAGAGACACAAGTACTGTTCATTCTTTACGATGCTTGGTTGATTTCAGGAGTCATAATTACTGGACAGAATGTAGCAAAAACATGAGACGGAAATATGACAATAATATGCAATACACGAAATTGAACACTAATCCAATCTCTAACTAATATCTCGATACAGCCCAGGAATATACCACGCCATATACAAGCGTATATCTAAATTAAACAAAACTTAGCGAAGGTTGAGGTTTGATTTGGATGCTACAAGTCATCAGTCAGGAACGAAGAGTCGCGTAGGAACCCTTAGGCATGCGTATTTAGTCTTCGTAATCTGGTCGGTATGCATCGTAAAACGGGATGTAATTGGCTTGACACTGGTTTAACTGTCTCAAGCAGTGGACTCATAATCGGCTACAAAATATTTGCTGCCAGGAATATGAGAATCACTTATCCATACGTGTGCTATTCGCCATTTCCAAATTCCTCCTGAGCTAAGCTCGGAAGCTTATTTTATTTATGTTCATTGCTAACGTAATGTCCACTCTTAATCGAATGTGAACATGTAACTTGTTCTGACCAAATATTTTTAGGCCTAAGAGAAAGTATTTCTAGATAGTTGATGTGCGTCCTCTCGGTAGTCCTTTTGTCATTGTATGTCCCATACATTAGCTTGATGTGATATGCGTCTGTTGTAATGAAAAATGTGACCTCATTCTTACATGTTACATTTTTGTAAGTTGCGACGTTGCTCCACTCTCCAAGTTAATTCTTTGTGAGCAAGATAGGGAAAGTATTGTCGTTTCGTTAAACTTTATCTTTTCCTTCTTTGAAGCAAGTGTTTCAAACTGATCATTGTTTTTGAAGTAAAGCAGGCCAGACATAACCCCAGTTCCGAAGATAATCAGAGACTAACTTCCCAATGACTCTAGCTTATCTACGAATTGTGATCGACTGCGTGTGCAACACTTCAGAGCAAAGCTTCTTGATCGTAAGAGCTTTCTCTTTGGTGATTTTATCAGTCATTGTTATTAAGTTCAACACAAATCCTACAATGAATATTTTTGTTTGAGGGATAAATGCTGATTTGGCACGGTGAATGATGAATCCAAGCTCTGTTAATAACACCATTGTGGTAGTTGAGTTCTCCACGCACTCTCCTGAGTGGAGAAGTGGAGAGTGAAGTATGTTTTTTAGTGGGGGGCTACAGCGTCAAATTTGCCAACAAAATGGGCGTGGCATAATCTTGGTTTTGGGCGTAGTTATTGAAAATATATTGAAATTAAAAAAAAATTTGCCAGTAGATGACCAATTTTTGCGACAAACGATTAAGTATTGGGTTAAGTATGAGTCCAATTCGAGATTACGTTTAAAAAACATTGGTAAGATTTGTCGGTTATATTCAATTGACATACCCATAATATAAGAAATGATAGTGGTATTTTTTGCCATACAGAAAAAATGGACAGATTTCCCTACTGAAAGTTTTCCACACTTCTTTGTGAATATTTTATGTGAGCTTGGCACTATATAAGAACCAAAATGTTTTCATTTTGCTTTATTTCTGTCCGCTGTCTGATTATTTCCTGTTTCTCGGTTGTCCTCCAAGTGAAAGTGTTTTTTTTCCTTGAAAATACGCCCTGATTATAGTTGTTTTTAATAGAGAACCTGGAAGAATATGATCTTTTTCCAACTATATAAGGGCTAGCAAACATCGAATTAAGTTTGCTTGTTTCTTTAGAATCTCGCATTCTATATCGTCTCCAAAAAGCAAATTGCTTGTGTTTTCAGTGTTATTACATGTGTTTGTCTAATAAGCTTTCGAAATTGGCTTTATACTGGTGCGCCGTACGCAAGATATAGCATTATACACATAGTCTAAAAGGCGACAGAATCTACACAATTCATGAGAAGAAGTTTGGTTTATGGTTCGTCTATTTTCAGCCTTTATTTTAAATTTTCAGGTTTACAAAAACAACATTTCACAAGATTTGTTGATTATTTGCCAAAGTAAGATCCGCTTTCTTTGATGTTTTTTAAGTGATGACTATAAATCCGAATTTACAGTGATCGGGGCAATATTTAGAGCAGTTTGCTGGATGTTTTGTACCAAGTGTTCTGGTCCAAGCCTTTTCCTTATCCAACGTTAGTTTGCCAATTTTGCAAGTTGTCGTTGGTTTGCAGTACTAAGGCTGTTGTCTTGCTTAAAAGATTTTTGATAATTCTAATCTCTAGAAGCAGCTTCTGACAGTAAGATAAGACGTACGTTGTCCAAATTATATGATTGCTTGTTGAGCAGATAATTTATATCGTATACAGTATTTTGTGCATATAAACTTTATCTATCTTTCTTTTAAATTTCAAGTAACCGTCATTTTTAACTTCGATTTCTTCGCTGTCTGAGAAATCGGACCCATCAATATCTTGTTTTTCTGGTGAGAATTCTCTGCAATTTTGGCGGTGTTTATGGGTCCACGTGATCTTTTAAATTTGTCCTTTTAGACTGTTATATTATTTTGTTCAAATTAATCCTAAATTTTTATGAGATGACCAGCCTTTTTGCTCGTGTTCTAGCTTTTTCTAATGCCATTTGGAGCGAGTTCTAAACACTGGAAGTATTTGCTGTGATAGTGAATCTTTATTTGGCTGAAACATGAGTGTCGAATGTCGAGAATGTAGATAGGTCATCCATTTTTTTAGCGAATTTACTCTCTCTAATTTGTTTCGTGAAGTCCAAGTTTTCCTGTATTGCCCTGTAAAAAAGCCCAGTTTCTGCCTATCTTGTCTGATGTGATAAAGTATTTCTCATGTGATGGTTAGGGATGCATTTCACATATTTGCTGAACACAAATTATTATTATATTGTAAAAGCTAATTTCTATTTACGTGAAACAATGAACACTAGAAAAGTGAAAACCAATTCTTGCAAAACAGTGAGGAGGAGAAAACAAAGTTTCGTCTTGTCACTAATAACTCAAAATTGTGATAAATCAGTGTCCTTAATGAAGCAAAAATTTTTACGCAAAATATATTTGATGAGCAGATCAGCGTGAATTAATAATTGATCTTGACGCGGTCGAGGGATAAGGGAACCCAATTAGTACATTGTAATTGGTTCGTTTTATAATCAAACACACATGCACGAGTTGTATTTTACAAAATTGTTATATAATGTCAATTGCACATTGACATTCTGACATTTCAAAAGAATACCCCGGCTTAAAGAGGACATAAAAACTTAGAAAGTAAAACTAAAAACAGACAGGACAAATAAAATTGCGGACATAAGTAAACAGGCCTTGACTTTGAGTTTATTTTTACAAACCCATCACCTCTGAAGGTGCACATGGCTAAATCAAAACAAAACAAAGCAATAAAATAGTCGTTCACAATTAGGTAGTTTTTGTTGAGATATTCTTTATTTCTATACTTTAAATATGTCGTTATGCTCATATTTTCTTAACCTTAAGTACTTAAACTTTCTTTAGGTGAAACATGAACGTAGATTCACACCAGGAGGTACAGACCATTCATCTCACAACTCACACAAAATTCTCTAATTGCAAATCATCAGACGATGAATCATCTGATAGAGTATTGTCCACTAGCAAATCATCAGATAGAGAATCCTCTTCTGGTAAATCATCTAATGGCGAATCTTCCACTGACCAATCACTAGATGGGGAATTCTCCATTGAGGAATCATCAGATGGAGAATTCTCATATGGTGAATCATCAGATGTCAAATCCTCGTATGGGAGATTATCTGATTGTGAATCATCAGACGGTGAATCATTTGATTGTAAATCATTAGATGGTGAATCATCATATTGTGAATCATCAAATGGTGAAACATCAGATGGGGAAACATCAGATGGCGAATCATCCAATGGCGAATCATCAGATGGTGAATCATCAGATGGCGAATCATCAAATGGAGAATTCTCAGATGGCGAATTATCAGATGATGAATCCTCTTCTAGTAAATCATCAGATAGTGAAATCTCAGATGAAGAATTCTCAGATAGTAAATCCTCCAACATCGAATCATCTTATTATGAATATTCCTCCAGCGAATCATACGATGGAGAGTATTCGGGCTGCGAATCATCTGATGTTGCATCCTGTGAAAGCGAATCACCTTATAGTGAATTTTCTAATCGAGAATCATCAAGTAGTGTTTTCTCCGCTAGCAAATCATCAGCCAATAAAATCTCTACCATGAAATCATCTAACGACGAATCTTACGACAGCGAATCAACTAATGGTGAATTTTCTTGCAGCAAATCATATAATGGACAGTCCTCCTCCTACAATGAGTCATCTGATGGTGAATCCTTCATTGAGGAATCATCAGATGGCGAATCCTCAGATGGTGGATCATCTGATTGTGAATCATCAAATGGTGAATCATCATATTGTGAATCATCAAATAGTGAAACATTAGATGGCGAATCATCAGATGGCGAATCATCAGATGGCGAATCATCAGATGGCGAATCATCAGATGGCGAATCATCAGATGGTAAATTATCAGATGGCGAATCATCAAATGGAGAATTCTCAGATGGCGAATTATCAAATGATGAATCCTCTTCTAGAAAATCATCAGATAGTGAATTCTCAGATGGAAAATTATCAGATAGTAAATCCTCCAACATCGAATCATCTTATTATGAATATTCCTCCAGCGAATCTTACGATGGAGAGTATTCGGGCTGCGAATCATCTGATGTGGCATCCTGTGAAAGCGAATCACCTTATGGTGAATTTTCTAACCAAGAATCATCAAATAGTGTTTTCTCCGCTAGCAAATCATCAGCCAATGAAATTTCCATCATCAAATCATCTAGCGACGAATCTTACGACAGCGAATCAACTAATGGTGAATTTTCCTGCAGCAAATCATATAATGAACACTCCTCCTCCGACAATGAGTCATCTGATGGTGAATCCTCTTACAGCGAATTATCAGATTGTGAATCCTCTGCAAGTGAATCGATTGATTTCCTACTCCGACCTCCTATTCAGGAGACTGGGGAAGAGGGTGATGATTTGTTGGTGGGCTGTACCGATGAAAATGAGGGAATACCTAATGAACTGTAAAATAAACTGAAATCAAGGTCGGTTATTTGGTCATGCAATGTAAACTTTTCTGGGTTCACTTACTGTAAGAACAAAAGATTTTTACAAAAATTAATAATAATTATGTTTTTCATTTTACATGACACACGTGCACACGTACTTTTGAGCACCGTCCAGTAAAAATTGATGGATTATTTAAGTCTTTTATTTCTTCAAGAAATCACTATGCTCTCTTGAATATAGTTGTATGCAAATATTTGTCTATTTTATCCATATAATTTTAGGAAAGGAGTGTTTGCGTGTGACGTCAAAGCGCCATGTTGGTGGAGTGCATCATCGTGCCGATGTTCAACAAACGATAAAATTAACATAAATTCTTTTCATTAGATGTGATTTTCCCCCCCACGTGGCGATTGATGAAAACACTCTAATCTAATGATTTATCTTAAGTATTTTTGTATGTTTAGAATTATCTTAACTATTTTTCTATAAATATTGTTTTCCGATTTTCTCAGGAGTAACAGCGAAATAAAAATTGTTAAAAGAAAAAAAGTAAATATAAGCTTTTAAAATTTGTCATGACTTTGTATGTTCATTTTACGCCACCTTTATGGTATGTTTTTAAAATGAATTTTTTGCTCCGTTTTTGTTAGCTTTGTAGAATATTGGCTTTTCAGAAGAAATTTGTTGTACAAATGACTTTCGTCCTTTGAGTAGAAATTAACTAAATTTTCTTCTAAACTTTTGATAAGCAAATTAGCTAAGACATACGATTGAACAACTACTAGTTTGGCGAAAACTCCGCTGACAGAAAATTATCCGAGTCTTTACGGCTCAATCATCGGGTTCTGAATTATTTTACTTGTTCTGAGTAATCGATCAGTTTATGTTTTAGTGATAACAATATTACTGATGATTCAAATAGTGCAACACTGAACCTCGTAAACTCCTATCGTCAATGAAAACTCTTTTTAAGGAGAGTGAAAAGATCCAAAAAAACGAAGCAGTTGAGAAACATGATGAGAGAGAGGCAGTTCATCATAGCCTGTTCTACTTCGATTGCCCAAACCAAGTGACAGGAAAAAATGACGGATTTCTTTTAATTTGGTCTATTTTTATGATGAATCGGGTTCACTATTATGTAAAGACACAAATAAATACCTACAAACTTATTTTAAAAGTTTTAAACATTTTTTAAAAAGAATACAAATTAAGCGAAAATTCTCACATGCAAAATGCTTGCTCCATACAGAGGCTGTGGCTATTTCGCTTGCAAGTGAAGATCACCACTCTTCCAGGGGCGGATCTAGACCGATGCAACCGATGCGAATGCATCGGTCAAAATATTTAGATATTAAAATCTGCGAGTTTGCATTTTAATGAAATAAATAGTAAATATTATTTTCGAATTATTTAAAACGCACATTTGACAGTGATATATTGTTTAGTTAACTTATAGATTTAGCAGTTTTAAGCTAAAATTTGTTCTAGAAATAACATTTGTGTTCTCCGATAATTTTGTCGTATTCCATGACACAAATAGCGAAAGAAAAGTCGATAAAATTTAGCGAAATTTTGTCGTGAATACATAATTAGTAAGTAATTTAATAGTATTCTGCCAGCACGTCACGGTAGATGGAAGAGGCATCGCTACGTCACAGTAGATTTGCGATGCATCGGTCGATGCATCGGTCCCGAGTCCTTTTCCGCGTGAAATCTACTGTGACATCAGCAAAACCATTGTTTTAGGGCCTCACGTCACAGTAGATTTTGCCGCTGAGCGATGCATTTTCCATAATTTTGTGATTGTGGGCACATGGCACCGATGCATTCAACTTTGAACTTCAAAGTTGAATGCATTGTTATTTGATCACTTGATATAACTCGCAATCATCGATCGAAGTCATGGCTGTCGAGAATATCAAATACGATCTGTGTACTCTGCTTCGAGAAGAGAAGTCATTTGATATTAATGGAGTGCGTCGAACCTATGAAACGAGAGCTGCTACTTTTATTTCAAAATCCTCTCCTTGGAATCCCTTTTCAAAGGGTAAAAATGGGAGAGATATGTCAAGTGAAATGTTAATACCTAAGCACTTGACAGTTCATTGGCAAAGTGGAGAACTAAGAGCTTTAAAGTAAATAAATTTACCTTTATGCTTGCATGTTTTAAATGTAAATAGTGTACTCATTTCAGACTCAGAGTGTAGTCGTGTAGATAACGACGAACAATCATCATAAAATATACACGATGTCATATTACTTATGCAGCACTTATACTTGTATTCATATGTAATATAATACAATCGCTGGAAAATGCTTCTCGGATAGTGAAAATTCAAAAATTTTCTGGGGGAGCATGCCTCCAGACCCCCCTAGCGGTGGCTCGCGCCTTCGGCGCTCGCAATGCATCGGTCAGCTAAGGAGCTGGATCCGCGCCTGCACTCTTCCCAAAAAATAAGCTGAAGATCAACAAGTCTGTACTCAAAATCTCAAGTCAGTTTTGTGATTTTTCTTACAGAAGCAAAATATAGATGAAGATTGTAATTTTGAAAGGCTGGAAATCAGTCTTTCTCTTGGTGTTTTTTATGGATGATTTTTATCCATTTAAGACAGACCTTGATTTAGATCATTAAACTTTGGGTAACTTCTGCATATGATATACAATGCTCAAAAATTTTTTTTTCGTCTTTAGTTCTTAGTCTCACTGTGTGTCGTCTCTTTACTTCAGGAACGATTTACAAAGATGTAAGTAGAATAGAATGCATTTCTAAATCCTCTTTGATGTTTTTATTTTTGAGAGAACGGATGTTTTGAAAAGTCAATTCAAAGAACTTTGTCTTTAGGCCCTTATCACGAGAGGTCAAATCCGTTTATTTTATAACATTAATGTTCATTTACAGGGCATCACGTTTCTTACTTTTTTATCAATGTATTCAATAATGGTATTGGAACAACTACAAGAATATTATCAAAGATACCATAATATATGTGCATAAAAAGTACATGATAAAAAGTTAATGTTCATTTATCAAAATCAGCTAAATTACATGGGTTTCGTTTAGATTAAGTCTTAATACGAAACATTTGTAAGTTATTTAAATCATATAAACGAGGTTATAGCATATATGAAAGCAGAATCTTCCTACTAATTTGAAGGTTGAGTTGCCCAGTATTTACGTAGAGAAAGGTCGTCTGAACTCTGAAGTGAAAGCTTGTAAGGACCACTTATTCCATAAAAACTTTCCATAAACGTTTCCGAATATCGATTAATTTTGTGTTTATGCTGCACATTTAGCGATGTTGCTGCTTTTCGATTTTATTGGTAAAGATAAATATACGTTGGCTATAATTTATCAAATTAAAGGGAGATAATAAAATAGCAAAAAAAAGGTGGGTAAGGACGAAGAAGACTAGCAATACAGCTTTGTATAGACATATTGACCATGATCGAATCTTCTGGTCACAAAAAATATCAAACACATTTATCTTGGCAACTATTTCGTCCAGAATTTGAGTGAATTTGCAATAGTGTGGACACAGAGGAATTAAGTGTGTGAAATACATAAGCATTACAAATATACTTGCGTGATCAGTAAGAATATTTCACTTCTTCTTTGAAACATCATAATTTTGTCGAAATAATTCTAAAGTTTTAAAAGATATTTCTCTCCAACTTCTGTCACTAGCACACAAATTTATCGCACAAATAGGAAGCGAATTTTTTATTCTGCTAGATTGCTGGGGCTAACACATCTTTGTGAGCTGGTACGGTTGTTTTTTGGGCTTACATATCGCACGCAATACTGAATAACGTTCAATAAATCAAAAGACTGGCAAAGGTGCCCACTTCCAAACAACATAATTAGCTGTTCACCTTCGTCAGTGTGAGGTCAAGCAGTCTTAAGTGCCTACAATTAAGCTATCACGTTAAGGTTGGGCAATACGAAGAAAAGACAACCGAAACGTCTGTGTGCAACAAAAGTCCAACATAATACTTTAAATAGAGCCAAAAGTCTTTGATATAATTGAAAGGTTTCTTAAGATGTAAGTTTAAGAGATAAAAGTTTTTATAGAAATAAAAGGTTCTTTATTATAACGTTCGCTCTTTAAATTAAGTCATCTTCCGATACAATAACAAATACTTACACAAGGCTTCAAATACAAGCAGTTAGTTGTATATTTATAGGACGCTAAATTACAAATAGCTTAAGAAATTAAGAATTAAGATTAGTTGACAAGACAAAAAGCTGGCGAGTCCATTTACAAAATAAATGAAGAGGCAACATCTTGAAAGAAGCTAAGAGCAACGAAACTAGCATGGGTGTTAAGAGAAGGTTTAAAGATAGATATGAGAAGGCTTTCTTCAACCACGAGCTCTTAATTGTAATAGGAAGAGAAAGTTGCAAAGTCATTAAAAACCGCAAAGTGGGATGTGTTTCTTCGAGAAAGAATAGCATATGGTGGTAGACAAAAAGGAGGTCTTACTTCGAAGAAGAAACGTCATTAATTAAAAAACCTTTTAACTCTATTTACTTTCGTAATAGCTCTTTTTTAAAGTTATATGTTGTGCTAGAATATTCATAACTGTAAAATTCACCTTTCGTCTGGCAAATCTCTGGTCACAATTTTAAACATGAGATGTTGATTACCTTTTATGACTACACTGAAATTTCTTTTTAACAGAATACAGTACAAGCACGTTATATACAAAGCGTAATGAGCCTCGACTCTGAAATCAATTTTAGAAACCGCTTTACACCTTCATGTAGTTCACATGTGATAAACATTAAAGAGTTCATGGAATATTTCAACCTGCAGATGAAATCAGAGTTGAAATTTCCATAATCGAAATCATGGCCCAAGATTTACGGGCGGAACACGAATTTTCATTATTAATATAATGTTGTCAAAGACATGCAAAACTTTAAAAAAGAGCTATTACGACAATAAATTAGAGATAAACGATTTTTAATGAAGGCGTTTCGTCTTTAGACATCTTCCAGACTCCAAATTTTTTCAGATACAATGACAATTATCTTCACGAGGGTTAAAATACATGCAGAGGCGTCATCAATAAGAAAAACTTTTGTTTCTAATTTATAATCGTGATGGCTCTATTTTTAAGTCTTATGTTAAGCTATCAGCCTATCACATTCACAATGTATATTTCTTTATTTTCAGTAATATTATATATTCATATCGCTGTCATTCGTTATCAGAAAGCATTTGCAGATTCTAGTGTATTGAGTGCAAAATTAGTATTCAACGTTAAATTGTAAACTAATTAACACTATTGATTTGATAATTTTAAACGACGAAGTTTTGCTTATTCCGATCATAATTCCAAACAAATTCCGAGCTTTATCGCATCTGTATATTTCGTAAATCTCGTGTAGAAATATGGTATCTTTAGTCAAATATGATATGATATTCCCCTTATAATCTACATCAAGTCTGACTCTTATCAATTAAGCTTTTCACTTTTGACTTTCTTAACTTCACTTATTTTGGCATTTTGGTAAGAATTACTATAAAAAACTTTTAAACTTTAACACAACAGAAACCTCCCCCTCAACTTTCTCTTTCTAGAAAGAAATACTTTCATGGAGAAAAACATTAGCATGTGCTTTAATTGTTCTCAACAGAGAAAAAAGCTGTCTGATTGCGAAACAATAACTACAAAAAGAAGTTTTTGCTGACCTGAAGGCACAGAGCCAGATGAGAAGACTATAAATAACAACATTCACGGAGAGAAAATTCAGTTTAAGAGAAGCAAAGCAAGAAGTAGTTCTGAGAAGGTTTGCAGAATAAGCACTTCAATTAACAATTGAATTTCGAAGGTAAAGTCTTTCATTCGTTGGTTTGATGTGAAACATCGACGATCGCATGCAAACTAAATTGTGGTTGGAAATGTATGTATCTAGCAAGCCAGAAAAAATGTCTGTCAATTTTATCGAACATTTTAGTTCGTTGTTTTCTCGTATCGGTCATTCACACTTTTAACAATTGCTACTTGTTCTTGAAATATAGCGTCACCATGCATTTCAAAATCTTAATAATCACTTTGGCGTTCTTCATATCCTTGTCATCTGCAGGTACGTTGCAAAAACTCACATAGCTAACTTTTCCTTCGGTTTACGCTTTAAAAAATCTTTCTTGAAGAAAGATCTCATAACAGAATTAGCTCGATGTTTTTCATGATACGTTTCAAAGATAGTATAGGCAAATGTTGACTTGTTTCGCATGAGTAATTTTGATCTATATGTCTCTGTAAGCATTCCATCTCAAAGGCCACACGCGTAGTTTGTATAGATGGCAAACATGTTAACATCGTATACGAATTGTATTCAGTTGATTATTGGAACGCTTTTCATGTTTTGGATATTTCAGAAGAAATCTTGCTTAAAATAGAAAAAATCCTACCTGACCGAAATGTAAAATTTTCGCAACAAAAAATCACCAGAGTACAATTATTTCCATCTTTTTCACAGGAACGTGGATAACAATTGCCTCAAACATGTGCGTCGGCGCCAAAAACAACCAATAAGCTCAGTTTTCATACACAGGCCCTTCGCGGTTTGTCATTGCTCTGCAGTTACACCATACCACAGGAAAGATTGGATGTGTTGCTTCATCACAAAGCAACTGGGGATGCAGGCCGACAAACCCAATGAACATCATCATTACAGGTAATGGAATCCATCCAACAGAGTTTTATTGTATGAAAGTGTGTGTATAAATTAGCTATCTCAATCGCCCTTCATGTTTTACATGAATGGGCTAAATCTATTCAGTCAAAGTCTTAAAAGTGCACGTGCGAGTACTATTGACTTGTTTTTTAGTTGCAAGCTAATTAAAGTGCTAACAATCCTTCTGCATGTTGAATTGTTTAACAAGACAGCTTGAATAAGTAAAGAATATTTAACTTTGAGGCAAATCTGACTAAAGAAGCTTAGATAGGTCAGTGACAGAGTTTTACAGTTGAATCTTGCGCTTAACAATCTTAGCCGCGTTTATCGAACAAAATTTAAGAGTACCATTAAAAGTAATACGTTTATTTAGTCGTGTCTAACATATTACATATTTGGTAAAGCAAAGATCACCACTATCAGACAACCATGTCCTGAACATTATACACTTGCCAAAAGTTTGAATGAATAAGAAAAATTCGCAAAAAATACGAAAGCATATATATTTCTGTTGTCGTTTTCAGACACAAGAAATAAACGTATATTTCCTGCACCTTCTTTGATTACACCCACCACTGGTAACTGGTATGAACTGCCTGGATACACCGAGAACTCTCCTAGTATCACGTTTGCTGTACCAGGCTATCAATGGTTGTATCATGGTCAGATATTCAGAATCTGGTACGGAGAAGATCTGGCGAATAAATGGGAAGACGACAATCATGGCCAGACTTGTATGAATGTACGCGTTTACGAAAGTTGAGAAAACTTATTTACCTTTTTTGAAACTTAGCTGTTGTAATCAGAATAGAATAGTGTGAAACATAGTCTCTTTAGTTTAACGTTGCAATGTGCAATATTATCGCTTTGGAATTAAAATAAAATGTGCATGAAAAAGCTGATGTGATATCGTTTATATGTCCGCTGACCAGTAGGTATAACCGATATTCCATTATCTTGTAGCTGTATTTCATGGTAAATGTTCCGAACTTATCGAACACTACGGATGCTCCTTAGTTCAATTATCATGACCATACGTAAAATGAAAAGTTTCTAATGAAGTATAGATAAACTGCTCCCATCGAAGAAATTAATACATGCACTTCAGTTGTGTAACTATGATGAGCTTAGGATAAGTACACAAGCAACCAGCTTGCAAGGGGCACTCTGTACTGTGTTATTTATGAAAAAAGTTACGCTTGTGATGCACTTTATATGAAGAAATACAATAACATTACTGAATGCGAGAGTGAAGTGTATGGTTTTAGCGAGGAATTACATAACTAGAGATTTTAGAAAAATAACTTTGTTTTTACGTCTTTTTTGTTTTTCACATATTTTCTACTTTGCTTTTTTATCACTTCATAAAAAGTGGCCGCCATATTATAAAACATGAATCCTTCTCGTAAATTGATAAGAAAAATATGGAAGACGATGATAAAATGATTCGACAAACCTCTACCAGCTTTTTAAATAGGACAACCTGGATCTACTTTTTAGACACAGGACGGCATGACTCCACAAACTACAAGCCATAGCAAACGAATACCAATTTTCAAGATTCTAAACATAGATGAATTATCTGTATTTGGCTACTTCATAAGCTATGTTGCTTCATATATTGCTATAACACGATAGCGAAATACCTTGCAAACGCTTTCTTACGAGGGGAAATACGTCATATTTATCGCTAGTAAGACTAGAATTTGCCTTTAAAATGCAGCCAAAGAGCGTAAAATAGGAGTTCATAAAAAACAAGTAGAAATAGTTTGTCAACAAGCACTTGATAAGCATGAGCCATGTTGGTATAAATCAACAGCATTACGTAAATTCGATACTTTGATATAAAATACATATCATCTCATCATGCTTAAATACTTTTGCTGTATAAGATATATGAAAGAAAGTTATTTAAACAAAGTTCAAACCTGAATCGTTCAAACTTGAAGAAGAAGTTGTAGGTACACAAAAATCTGCTTGGGTTTGCCTTCGACGATTGCTTGTTGTTTGTCCATATTTCGCGGTTACTCTAAAACCTCACATACTGTAGACAACATTCACAATGGTGTCATGCAGCTTCTTAAAATTAAGATGAAAATAAAACAGGATGTTCTTCGTATATGAAGAAAAAATAATTTCAGTAGCGAAGTCTGAGACCATTCCAAACCTAAACCAAAAGCACAGTGTAGATATAAACAGTAGTTCCTCTCCATAGAAAGTTTTTGTATAGCGCATATCTTTTTACGAATGTGATTATAGCACAGTGACAGCCAGTCAACTGCTTTTTTGGCCAGTAGGAGGGCAGAGATGGCTAGCTGCAGCCAGTACTCTAATTAATTATACAGCACCAAGTGGCGCAGTAGAGTAAGACTACTGTATGTTTTCTATACTGGGCAAAAAGGATAAGCAAATAAAAACAATGTCCGAAGCTTTGTTCTGTGTCTTGTCATGGGATTGGCAATATGACTGATTGACTAACGTTACTGCGCCCAATTATGTCATTGATAACTTCACTTTAGTATTATTTTTAGCACTCAGTGGTTTTAGCACTCATACTTGGCAAATATTCGTTTGAAACTTTGAAGACGGAATAACTTGCTGATTTTACAAGTTATAAGTTTGTACTGCAGATATATTTACATTAAATAATTTAAAGCAACAATGAAAATAATTTTACTGTGATTTATTAGTGATGTCACGACTAGTCGTCTAAGTGATGTCAACGAGGGAGTAGACGACTTTGTGTCCACTAATAGCAACCCAAAGACATTAACAGTTACTTCAAAGTATTGTGGCTAAATATTCAGAGCATAATCTTTAAAAATTAAAGTTCAGCAAGTATACTTGACTGTTTGCGCTCCAGGATGACAATGACAATGACCTCAAAGTCACATGTGGAGTTGTCTCAAAGTATTTCACAATATGCATTACTTACAGTACTGACTATAGACAACGGCTTACATTGGAAAGTTGGTATACCAACTTGGAACAAACCCCCCTGAACAGATCACAGCTATTACCGGCACCTTACAAACGACTTATTCACAATACAAGCAAATGATCAACTAAAACATTACACTTCACACTAATTCACATTGACAATATACAATTCACACCCACACGTTACAGCTAAAAACATCACACCTAAATCACACTTCACAACTAAAAGCATTTCACTTAACACTAATTCACAATGACAATACACATTTCCTGTACACACAATACAATGACGTAAGAACAAGATAACAAATACGGCTAACCTGACGTTTACTCCTCATTTGACTCTGAAGATGACTACCGCTAAGGTTGTCGAAACGTCAGTCAACAACAACAAAAAACAGTCCTTCTCAGGACTATACCAACCTGGACGATCTACATTTACATACATGTAACGATACTCCCGGGTTCAAACCATTTACTTTAAAAATATCGTTGTTAATCGTTTGCTTACAAATACGCTTTGTAAAATAATTCGACAAACCTCTATCTGTTTTTTCAATAGGACTACCTGGCTCTACTGCTTAGATACGGGACGGCAAAATACCACAAGCAACATCTGTTTAGCTATAAACCGCTGACAAATATCTTGCTAACGATTTCTCACCAAGGGAAATACAGCTAAATTTCTTTGGAATATGACTAGACTTCGCCTTCAAAATACAACCAGACTGTAAAATAGGAATTCACAATAAACAACTTGATTTATGTATACATAGCTCATGCTCATGACAATCCCATGACCGAGCCATTTCATCGCCATTTTACAAGTTCCATATTTCCAAACTACAGACCATATTATAGTATCAATATGCTTAAATACTTTTGCCATGTAAGATATTTCAAAGAACGTTTTTTTGAAGAAGTTCATGAATCATTCAAACCTGAAGAAGAAGTCATAGGAAGAAGATTTACGATGAAGACCTATTAGAAGAAGAAAACAATTCTGCATTGGCTGATTGGTTGATGTTACAGCACCCACGTTTGTCAACGATGACGTCACTTTAGTAATATTTTATCTCTTAGCCGGTTATTCTGGGGCTGCAAATGCACGAAGACTGGATAGTGGTATCCACTGGATAGTGAACTTTTAAAACTTGCATAAAATGGGTTTATATTTCCTTTGCGATAGTGAATTTTATAATTGCAAAACCAATATTGTATTATATGTATCTTATCTGTTAGTGTTCCAAATATTGGCAAATATTCGTTTCAACAGATGTCACAGCCTTCAAATAGAATTCTTATTTTCATCTATTTTGAAACATTAGGATGTTTATAAATTTGTTTTGATTGAGGAAATTAAGAACAAGGAAGATGAATTTCAGACATGGTCAGGAGATGGGTCAATTAATTCAATGGGTCACAATGCAAAATACGGTGAAATATAAGAAGAATATACAGAAAAATAACTTCCGCTTCCATCTCTTTTTCTATACACTTAATTTTCATGTATCATATTTTTTTACATATTATCTCTATGTTAATATTTCATTTATTAAATCGCACTGAAAATAGCATAAGTTAGCCGAAATATGTTTGCAATAAAAAATTTAAAAAAAGTTGTCATTTACGTAAAATGTATCAATATATGGTGCTTACACAATGTTTAATAATCCATCATAAAAACTAGTCCACTTTTACTTCATTCAGGTATAGTGCATTATTACTGCATACTTTCATGTCAATTGCATTTATTTTGAGTTACTCAGTGCTTGACATGACTCTGCTGTTTATATTATGTCTGATATTGGAAAATTTGTTTTACTTGATTTAGGCCAATTAAGTTGGAAGCAGTGATGATATGGAACTTGAAGGCGACAAAAGATCAATTAATTTCTAGTTCTTGATCACTCATTCCAATTTTTGATCCATACCATCTATAAAATTGTCCATTCCGGTCTTCAGATATGGGCCAACATCCACGACTGTTGAGAAGGTCATGGGTCCGAAATCATGTTCAGTGATGAAATTGATGTGTTCAATACTGATCTCAAAAGTCATCATTCTTATCACTGGTCGCATTTCTTTACAGCAACAATACTCCAATGCACCAAGCAACTCAATGTGGCAACTTTGACAAGTGCACCTAAGAGTTTCATTAACATAAAAAAATACTGTTATTGTTATTGTTAATGCATTAAACAGCTCAAGTTGTAAAAATTAGAAATTTAGTACATTACAAAAACTAGTTACTGCATTATAAGCAATAAGCAAAATTCAGTAAAATAGCAAGGTATTTTATTTTGACATTTGACAGTGACATGTGTTACAATACTAGGCCATGTACCCAATCATAAATACTTATCGCTAATTTAATCTTATTGTTCCGTCATTTCTTTGTTTTGATGTCTGTTGCAGTATTCCTTTCGATTCTGAATTTATTGAAACTGAATTTTCATCCGGGTCTGCATCTTAATACGCTAAACTATGCGATGTTATGTTTTTGTAAAGTGGCGACGAAGCGAAGCTCTATCGCTACGACGCTATCAAAAACGTCCCTTGATGGACGATTATCGACCGTTTTTCTGCTGCTAGCAGACTCGTTTGATGGGATTGCTTCGACGCTTATATTCTCTTCGATGTAGACTTACTTTTGTTTAAAAATTATCGTTTTAAAAGCAAATTAATTCAAGGAGAAAAGTGCGCGCGTTATAATAATAATAGATAGATTTCAGTGGCGTAGCCAGAAAAATTAGTAACTCCCGCCATGTCGCGCCGGAGGCGCAACTATGCTCCACCGGAAAATTTTGAAATCCAGAGCCTTGGAAACAGCATTTCCCGCGACTTCAAGGGCGAATTGGATTAGCACAATAAATAACATAATATACGACCCTTCCTAAAATGCATAGGGAGAGATTGCTCTTAACATTCCAGTTGTTAGTTTACACTTGTTTAGA